TTCATATGATCCATTGTGGTCATAGAGTGACAAGACAAAATCGCCTTTGTAGACGCGTTACTTTGCAGCGGTAAATACAGTCCCGTCCAACTACGAGATAAAAAGGAATATGAGACGAAATGGTTATCAGACACACTTTCATATTATGCTCATCGTTCAGACCGTGAAACTCATACAGATAAGGAGCGGCTCTCTTGTATCCCCGAAACTCACCCATTTATTAGGGTTTCAGCCGAAGAAAATGCATTGACCGAAAAACTCACACAATCATTAAAGGTAGCGGTGAACTTCATTTTTTCAGTAACTAAACCACGATCCGTGTTCCATAGTTATTCGTTTATCCATATGCACATTGAAAACAAACATTTCAACCGAAAATTCATATGCGATGAAAATCGCTATGATGATCGAAAAAGTACACTGTTGCGCTCGTGCCAGCAGTTCGGAATATCGTGTCCCTACCGCGAGATTTCAGGTTGGGAATCGAAACTCTTAACCCTCAGCTACATGATCGACGGTAGGGATAAAAAAGCACTCATTATTGACCAGTCTAAAATACGATGAAATTGCTGTTCAGTGCTCTTTTTCGGTTATCAGCTATCTCATATAAATGCGCTAAGATGGTGGGAAACTTACAACCTCCCAAAGAGAGACAAATGACAATGTCTGGAGACTGTAAACGATCACAGGTGATAGTCGGGAATGATAAATAATCAGCACTAAAGACAGCTGTAGTTCAATATTCACCCATATGCGGCTTCAATGAAACTTATGTATGCCGAGTGGCTAACCGTCAAGTTAAAAGAACCAAGTAACATAAGCCCAATCAATTTCAGTGCGCACCTCGGAAATATCGGTCCCACGTCTCTCAATTTTTCCTGTACTGCGCTCCCGTTACTCCTTATCAATTCAATGACTCAGATTTGCAAACCCCAGACTTTCATACATAAGGATATTGAATCACCATTATATCCTGTATTTTTGAAGTTTAGCAAGATTCTGGGGATTAAAACGTTTAACTTAATTGATTGTTGTTTCGCGTTTTGAGCTCATGGGAATTGATTCTTTTGATAGTTATGGTTGATTATTCCGGATAAATTAGAGGAAAAAGCTTTGCAGTACATCCTAAACTTTTCTCCTATGAGTGCATTGTTGATACAACGGATACCATTTTATTAAACAAAACACCACATAATGAATCCAATCAATAATTTATCACGGTTTCAAACACCACCAGACTCGTTGAGGAAGTCGTTCAATTCATATCTCTAACAAGTTTTCATTAACGGTTAACCCTGTGTTGATTAGGTTCTCAATGAGGGACACTTTCGAAAACTGAAATAGCGATAAATAACGCCAGTGAATCTAAAGCGGAATGGGTCCTTTCCACATCTCCTCGACAAATTTTTATCCTAATTGCACCAGGATTGCACAGCTTTTCATGTTCTCCGCCCTTTGATTGATCGTATTCACATTCTGGAAACTGACTGAGCAGTCATATATTGAATAAAATGGATTAAAAAATGATTACCCCTGATGAATGTCTGTTCCGCTGTATGGTGTCAATATTAAATTAGATCGTAAAATTTAGGCAATACTTTTACCGCACACAACTAATTTATTTCATAAATCACATGTACATAGCACATCACATCGGTTGACTCTGCTCCTCTTTGCGTTGGAAATCTCAGTGTATAACTGGTAGGCTGACTGATCGACTGATTGACTGGCTGACTGACTTCGGCGGAGTGATTCTGTACTACATATCAAGTAGTCTGATGCTTGTCAAGAAACTCATGAGAAAATGCCAGAAAACAAGAGCGAATAATTGACCCTCAATAAAGGCTAGCGAATCAGACGTAACACGTAAGATCTGATTCGTTATAATCTACCCTGTATGCTCTTATTGTTGCTCCTGTTGTTCTGGAGCTGCTCAAACCGCTCCCTGTTCTACCCACAAAATGACTAGTACATCCAACGTCAATTTGCTTCCCAATCCTATGTCTCCCGCTTCGCTGATGGTGATTGAGCTTGAATCAAGTAAAAAAATCGTTTGTGGAAAACCGGATAACTCAAGATTTTCTCAACATTCGTGGCGTTCGTTCAAGGACATCTCTGGAAGAAAAGATATCAGGTATATTCTGTGCCTCTTCATGATGCTTATCGCGTGTATCGTTAGTTTCCATATGGCAATAAATTTTAAGCACTGCAGGAATTGAGTGTAGGTTTATTAGAAGGGTCAGTGAAGCTCAAGTTATTCTGTGGACTCGACAAACTATATCAAAAAATTACTAGTGACGAGTCACTCACGGTATCGCTTTTCTTAAGACAAACTCAGAGCTGCCCAAAACAACAAAGTTTATAGTTATGGCTGGGTTTCAATTTACAACGTTTCCAAAACAGGAACGTTGTTCTGAAGATGAGCAACCACCCGGCGACAGAAAGCGACCCAGATAGAACACCTTGACCAAGACCACCTATCACATACGTCTCAGTTGAAAACTGAGATGAATGTTTACTTTCTTACATGTCAATATACCGGGAATAGGAGTAAAATTCCGCGGTGGCTTAAGCGCTAATAACCTAGCCGTGAGGGATCTTAAAAATAGTACATTTAAACTGAGCTCGTTTCATACTTTGGTATCTGAAATTGAAAATTCCAGTCCAATGGTACCCCATCCACCCTCTCCCCTGGAACTGATATTCGTTCTCAACTAATACAGGTCGTATTAAACTCTCATATAGATACAAAGCTTAGGATCTTTTTATTTATTTTGGGAGCTTTCTCAGCGGTGAGTTCAATGAACAGTAGAACTCGTCGAGCATTTGAAGTGCAGTTAAATGGAGAATTACTTTAAAGGCCACATTGCAAGTATCCTAATGTATACCAGTGCATTGCTTTGGAGAGGTTCATCACATGATGGATAAAACTGGACGCGGATTCTGCTCTAATTTGATCGCGTGTATTCATTATAGATGACCAAGAATGGTAGCTTTTATACTCTCTCCTTGTCTGAACCAGTATGGACGATGCTTAAATCGTTGAAATAGTTACCTTACCATCCGACCAAGAAATTCTTCATAACAAAGGCAGATCAATGAGCAGATAACCATAGAATTAGCCAGCATAGGTAGCCTAATTTTGTGGCTGGTTTGCGTTATGGGCGAGCCTGCAAACCAACACGATAATCGACCTGCGTTGCAGATTCGCTTCATTGCATGCGTCAGACAATTATGCAAGATGTCAGATATCGCATTTCTCTGAAAAGGTAAATGGGTGAATAGTTTCTTCTCCTGATCCTCGTGAACCTGTTCGGATAGTTACATTTCGTGGAAATGGATTTCGATAAACCATTCAGGATAACCATTTTCTCTGAGCATGTCCCTAAATTTTGTCAGTTCTTCATAAAACACATTGTCAGAGCAGCCTTGGCATTTTCATGCTGTTAGACTTAGTCTAATTTCGTCCCTCTCCGATTGGGACGAAACTGTGAACGTTTGCATATCGCTCCGACAATGTTTGTTTACCGTGTATTTGGCGCTCAAGCAAACGATCATCTTTTCGAACGAGCTTGAGAATTTGCCTTCACTAACAAAAACACGCATAATTATGGACCATTCGAAACCAATTGGTTGCCTTGCATCGTCTGTTGTGATATTACACTAGACCATCCGTTAGTGCATAAGCGTAATCTGATATACTTTCCATTATAAGCTTTTGGGTGAACTTAACATGTATTTCATTTACATCAAAACGGTTATGATTGCTCGGCTTTACAATTAGCTTCTTCCTCTTTTGCGCGTATCGAGCTAACGAATCGCTGGTTGATGGTGTGCCTAATAACAAACATGATCAAACTCTCACCAGGGTGGTTTACGTTTTTCTGATCCATCTTTATAATAGCCCGGCATGCTTTTATTCTTAGTTCCGTTTTTAAGATCACTTCCATTTCAAGTACGCTGCACAATTCGTTCCCTGCCCTGGACTGCAGGTACCAATTCACCCCCAAAGAACTAAATTCATAGGCTTATCAAACCGTCCATCTGCATAAAAAACTCAATGAAAAATTAATTTAGGACTGTTTTGATGTCCACAGTCAATCAACAACTCCATTGTGAGTATGTGAAGTGACAATGCATTGCGTCAATAATTCCCTCATTAGCTCGTTCCTGGTTTATGAAAATACACAGACAAACGCCGATGTATTGACTCAGTTTTTCGTTGATGCTTGTCCTACAATATTTGTCCACGTGGTTTTGTCTCATGCCATCGTTCATTTGGCTAGTGTCATAACACACTTTCTGCTTCAAACAAACAGGAGTTTGAATTTGGTGACGTTTCCTTCTTTGTGATACCGAATAAACAAATAGATACCAAGGCTGAAAAACCAGGAGTTGTGTTTGAAAAACATGAGTGAAGGTTGTGATTCCATGTGTGACGGTTGAAATACTACAAGTGGTGGATAAATAATCAAGGGAAGTGACTTTAGAATCCCCAAGTCTAATTGACTCCGGTGCAATAAAATCCAATCAGCTCCACTACAGCCACCCGTTCCATCTATAGTGAGAATAAAACACCAAACTGCGGCAAGATGAAAACATTTCATTTGCCAGAGACAGAGAGAGAGAGAGAGAGTATCAATGAAAATATATGCATCCACTCCCGGGTAATCAAAACAAGTAAAAAAGAATATGTTCACTGCTGAATTCACAAAATTACCGAGATAAACGAAGCAGTTATTCTTAATGGATGATCACTCTGTCAGAAAATGTGATTCAGGAAATTCACTTCATAAGATATCGTCCAAATTACGCACATTCAATGAATAAATAGCACGCAAAAAGTAGGCAAAATTGCATCCAGCTGCTCCAGCTGTTTGTGGTTGATGTATCTGTTGTTTCCGTGGTTTGGTCCGTTGTTACTGCTTCAGTTCCTTTCATCGAATCTGTGGAAATTGCGGTGATTGGTGATGCGGTTGTAGTAGCTTTTGTTGTAGTTGTCATTTTAGTAGTAGTACCAGCTGTTGTGGTTGTCGTCGTCGGTGTTGTTGTTGTCGTTGTTGTTGTTGTTGTTTTTGTTGTTGTTGCTTTCGTTGTCGTTGTTTCTTTGGGCGGACAAAGTGATTGGTCTCCTTTTTCATAAGGCTTTTGACCTAGAAAATTTCCCCTGGGTCAGAAAGTGAAAGTTAATATAGTAATAATTTTTCAATAGCATGTCAACATTTTTGTTATCCTAATTCAAGACACACTTGTGATGAAAACCAGTAAAAACAACACGATCCCTTGGCGCTAAAATTTCTCACTCGATTGAGTGCACGAAAGAGCAGGGTCACTACCTACAGATTGAACTATTTGCTGAACGCCAGTCTCTTATTGTCATTTTCTTTGTTTATATGAATTTTTAGGCATACCATGTGTTCTGGATCATCGTCGTCGTTAGAAAATTCAACAAAACGGCTGACCTTACACTCTTGATAAATTCAGATTTTAGATAACCTTCAATTTAAACGAATAACTTTCTGGTACATTCTTTAGAACACTTCAAAAATGAATCGTTATATTTTTTCTTTCAGATCTTATACCATAACAGGTAAGTTATGACTTACGCTGGACCGTAGTTGCACACAATTGCTTTGCCGTAAGGGAATCCTGTTGTTGCCTTATCGCATTCTCTAAACCCACATCCAATGGCAACGGTGTTAGCCCAAACAATCTAGAATAGCATATGGAATGGAATGGATTTCAGCGATAGTATCGTAAAATTTGGAACATCATTACTCATGTTTAAAAACATCAAACCACACAGTTGGAAGACTAACGATAATGAGTTTAGGGATAACCACTTTATTTCGGTCGTTACACGAAACAATCTCGCTCTTCGTTCTATACCATTAACCGACTCACGTTTATTGTTATGGGGTAAAATCTTTCTTTAAACACTGCAGTAAAAAGTTTGATTGGTTTATAAAGATATTTTAGTCTTTTTGTGAAATATTTAGCAAATGTTGTTCGAGTAGTTTCACATATGAAATTCTTTCAGTGTCGTATTCAGATGTCACAGATGCTAGTCTAAACTTTTATTGGTCACTTTTGCATTAAAATGAAGTCTGCAATACTGAAATGAATAGCCTTAAGTAGTATGGGAATAAATTCAAAATAGATAGATGACAAGCGGATAAAGCCAATAGTTATTGTCGAATTCCAGACTGTTCGTGGTACACATCATCTTTGAATGTCGTCATAACAGTAACAATACGGTTAGCTCTGAGGCAGATTGCTGCAAGGTTTCCCGAGTGCAACGCAATAGAATTCCAAACCGCAGAAGGGTATTAAGCAACCGGGATCCCCCATAATAATGATTACTAAAGGAAAATGAACAACAGTACGACTGTTTTAATGAATGTATGAAGGAGATAATCGTTAAATCACTTGTTAGATATACGGCCTTAGGTTCAAAATCAAGATGGAGAAATAACCAACAGACAGTTTGGCATACGTTAGTCCAATATGGTGGTGCACGTTCTGTATGACAGATAAAACCCATATTCTTACATACACATGATTCAAGGGCTTTTACATATCTGGTACAAGAGAGAAAACGTTTTAGTAATAACTGAAAAAAAGAGATTAAAGCGATTGAAGCTAATAAAGAATTATAGAAAATCATGTCGAAAATAAAAAAAGACAAAAACCTGATGTTTGAGATATTGAATCGAGCGAAGCTAGACACTAATAAGACATTGGGAAAGCCGTGGTCCACGGTATCAGGTTACGGATCAGATTAGAGTGCGGATAGTTTCTAAAAAACAGAATTTTACCGTACGCGTTTAAATCTTTCAATAAACCTCCCACTGAGTAATTTGAATCTTTGTTATTGATAATCGCTGATGATTAGATAGTTAGGCCTTTTGCCGGAGGAACTAGTGGTAGCGGTTTATGTTTTTGTCGTTGCTGCTGGTAATGTTGCCATTGTTATAGAAGTAGAATCGAAGATAATATTGGAGCTAAGTCTGTCAAAACCACTCCCTGTATCGTTTATATGCGCTTGGTGTTGTTACGCAATAACAGTGTCATTGATTGTAGGGATGGCTAAGAAAGTGAGTCGTTATTTGTTTGGTTGATAGAATTTACCCGTTTGAAATACTGAAATTAAATACTACAACGTAAACTCCAGTCAAATGAACGGTGAACAATGGGAAGTATTTCTGGAACATAGGGGTACAGTACGTTGGCTGGCAACTTTCCCGGTCCTAAAGACTTTCATGTGACAACTACGAGTAATTTATGGTCTTTTCTTGGCTGATATTTGAGGGCACGGAGTTAGAAGTGAAATACCATCATGATAACCCTAAACTACCAGGAAGTGCCTTGCGGCAATCAGAGACATGATATCAGAAAACTCTTCTAGGAAAAACGATGAAAACCGGAACAAACAGATTTAATGAGTACTCACTAATGCCGTTATCCAATGGATAAACATGAACGAATGGAAAAATATGTCGATAGTGGAGAATGATGAAGTCAAGAGGCAGGACAAGAGTGTGCGAACCCATTTCTTTATTCTCACACTATAGTGGAAGAAATTCTATCGATGCCACAACTATAGTAAACGGATTAGGAATGAAATGCACAGCATGTAACATAACAACAATTCAAAAGTTGTCCAATGAACCATGACATATAGCTTTGAGCAGTAAGCATAACACTTAATTAAGTGACAAAAATATATTCCGTTAAAGTCAGATTCCACTTTCCAAGAACTGTATGGGAAACCCGCATATGATATCCTACTCGCTGGCTGATTGCTTGATCATACGTTGTTCAAGTATATAAATACATGTTGAATTAAGTAATCTTGAAAAATTATCCGATCCTCGAAACCCTATGAAGTGTTTTGTTCTTCTTCCTGAACTTTTTCTTTCATCCTTTTACTTTCAATCTGGTTGACACGGATGTTATTCGCTGCTAATCAACACGTTCTCTGTCAAACAAACTGCAAAAGAAAAACCTGAGCCCAACAAAAACATGTAATGAATTACCTGAGTGTAATGTCCACATGCTTTGCCCTCAGCACATTTGAGATTTTCGTAATCATAGTCCTTATATTCGTCAAACCACAATTGGAAAGCACTTCAAAATGAATAAAAAACAAGGAACAGAGAAATGGTTTTGAATGAATATGGTATGCATTACAGTGAAGTTCTTAATTGCATAGTAGGACCACACAAAAAAACACAGTACTCACCCCTCAAAGCTGCTGTGACCAGCAAAGTTTTGTCCAACTTGTTTATATAGTGATGTTTGACGTTGTGTTTTGTCATCGTGACCGAATGTGCAGTTGTCTGCCCATTTTTGAGCCAAATCTGCCAGTTCTTGATCGTATTTCTGAAAAAAGTATATAACATAATTGAGATGATGTTTCAGTTTCCAAATAAAAATTGAAACTGTCCTGATAGAACCGTTGCAAAAACTCTCGATGTTATTTTCGCAATATATATGTGAATAACCCCTTTTTGAGTTTAAAAGGATGGCTGACAAAATATTTGATTCTTGATTCTACACGTTTTCTCAGCAACTTTACCATCTACCTAAAGTTTTCGAAAAATAACACGTTTTTGTTTGAGTTAGTTAATGGCTCTTTATGATGGCGCACAATCTCAATAATTCTCCGGATATTGTACTTATTTTCAATATTTCCTAATTGTTTTGGTTTATCAAAGTTTATCTGTAAGATTTTATGGTATTTTACGATTATTTTCAGGAATTTCTTTTTACCTGAAGAAAACGCTAAAATATAATCATTATTTTTCAGACCGTTTTTGCTTGCGCTGGTTGCATATACGGCTCAAATAAGTAAGTATTCAGTGAAAAATACCTTAGCAGAAACATCCTTTCCCTTTGATCCATTTGAATAAAACAAGTTACACAATATGAGCAGAATTGATATTGGTCATCAATTTCGCGTGCTCTCAGTCAGCTGTCTACGCACATTAAATAGGTCAAGTTTTATCATAAGAATACCATATATGGACATTTACAATTACATGGGGTCAAGCAGAAGGCACTGAGTGGTTGAGTCATTACCAAAGTCATTTGAGTATGGGTAGAAGAGGAGGAGGAGTGGGGAATGTTAAATGTTTCAAAATCATTTTAGAAGCAGACTCCGGTACTTGGGGTAACTCCTGAAATAACCAGACAAACGAAGTTGGAGGTTGAATAAACTAAGAACTCTTCGTATTTAAGGCAAAATACAATGTGTTTAGAGTGCGTACCACATAAGGGGGAATAGCATCTGCAACTTCACAAGGGTAAAACCGGATGAAAAAGTGTATTTATTCACCCCTTTCATTTTTTAACTTTCATCCAGTGTCTGTTAAGAAAGAATCAACTAAAATGGTCATATGGTCACGTCATGTAACCTGTTATCATGTTGTAATATGTTTGCAACCGAGTTATAACCGTGAAGATTATTACTGAGATTCGCAAAGTGTGCGGCCTGCAATAAGCTCATAAAAATGGATTGTGCTATATTTTAAACATTCGAACTGAAAAACGGCCTGGTCAGTTACCCGATGCCCTATTGGGGAGCATGCTTGCTTGCTGTCTGTAAGATCCCGATTACCATCTCTAGTTGGGTTGATGGATTCGCACTGCTGATCAGATGCAACCAAGTTAAAACAGCTGTTCTGTTCCTCCGGGCTTCGCACTTCACGCTTCATTCTACAAATTAGACGACGAAATTTCCCATATGATTAAGTTAATTCCTCCACCAGATCACGTAACTTTCCAATGGATTTGGAGCGAAAAATAGTGAAATTTTGACCCAAAGTGTAATTTGGAAACCCTATTATATTTAACCATATGATTATATTTCGTGTTCGATTGGACTCTATACATGTTTCTGGCGATGGACGCTGTGATCCTCAGGAGACCTAGAGGTACTTTTTCCAGTGAAACAATTGCACGATACAAAAACAAGAACTATGGTATTTTCTATGAATATCGCAATTTGGCGGTGGTCATTCTCCACATAACATGCGATGGAATTGTTTGTGAGAATGGACAAGGAACACTGGACTGCTGCGTCGTCCTGTTTGGGACTCGTTAGAAGTGCTTGCTTTTTGTCTCTGTCAGGACTCGAACCGCAAACGTTCCGGTTGGGACTTCAAACACTTACCCTTGAGCCACACGGTCGACGGTCATCACCTTGTGCGAATGACTAATCCAGGCGTACTACTCTAAAATTATCTGCACAACTTTATTGCACTGTTTACTAATGAAAGGTGCTCAAAACTAAGTCCTGTGTATTGATGTAATCTAAACGTGTCTAAATTACCTAGGTAATTTTTTCCTACAATTTGATGTGTTACCGATCGATTATGCTTGGTATCAATGGGTAGCCACTGGGATTTCTATGTGGGTATGGAGAGCTCGTTGTCCAACATTGTGGCAAAAGCTGCGATCGTAAATTCTTTTAAGTTTAGTTTCCGAATGAGTAAAACATTTTCATTCCTTTTACACTGGCATGAATCCAATTTACTTTTGTTTTCGATCCTTTTTACTTACTATAATACAAATATTTGGTTGTAAGCAAATATTTACTCACAAACTTCCAATCTGATAAAAATAATACTAATTGTCTTCAAAATAAAACACTACTATTCCCAGGGAACCAAAAAAATGGCTTAACCCGCCAAAAGTGCAGCGTTTCACTTACCAAATTGGGCATCGTGGAAGCCTGTGGTTGTCCGGGTATTTTACACATGAGAGCCTTTTGCCTGACCTCATTATGCATTTGCAACATTTTTGAGTTCAACTCATCTTTCTCCGTTGGTGCAGCGCTAACTCGGGACGTGGTCTGCACAATGATGCAGATATAGCAGATGACAGAAATAAAGTTCAATATCATGTTTGTTTTTGACGTTCTCAGCTTGTGAAACCTGCTTTTTTATTTAAATGAATACGCATATTTATATCTGCTGATTGCGGTTAGAAGAGTGCGCGTGGGCAGTGTGCAATGTCTTCCAAAAGCTTCCTGCCTTGCCGAATGCTTCTCCCGGTTGGAGGATATGTGCGAATTGCCATTGGATAGATCAGTGATGACTGGCACGA